CTACATGTTTAAGTGCGTTACCTATGGCTGTAAAACTGGAAATCTGTTTGTTCGCCTACACCAGGTTCTCCAGTCAGAATTATCCGAAACGTCAAACCGTTTTGTTTTGTATTGGGTCAAAGTGAGATACTTCTCATCTGGAAACTGTTGTACACATGGTTACATACTGTCATCGTGTTACCAGTTAAATCTGGAGGTGCCCGTGTTATAAGTTTTCCAACCGTGTTTGATTCACTGGTTTCAGTCATAAACTACCATGATCGTTTATGTTCGCTGTTCCCATTTCATTCCGTCGTAATCGTGTGTCTAGCCAAAATGCATTGGTACTCTTCTTTGTTTTGCTGAACAAACATGCCCTGAAATGCCAATCACATTCGAGTTTGTTCTCTCAACTTGGTACACAATTGCTAATCCTCGGGACTATTCTTTTCCCGGCTCCGTTTAGGTCGGTACTGCAGCTAACGGTGTTACAGACGCAGTCGAGAACCTAATTCGACTCTCACCGGAAATGTCCGAATCGGATCCACAAATGCATGAATCTCATCTACAGTTGGGTGATAACTTACACGAAGCTGTGTTAGCTGTGCACTCCGGTCTAGATGGTCTGATGTCCTGTCTACGAGCTACTTCCATTCAAGTATGTGTTCAGTTTCACTCCGAAATATGTTCAAACCTGTTATATTTTGTGCTCTCACAACTTCAAATTACTGTAGAATTTCTTCTGTCTGCTCCCGGAATTCAGAATAATGGGCAAGCGTGTTTTGTGTGTGATATTTCATGTCTGCTCGTCCCATTTGCCATCGAAATCATTATCACGATATTCGCACATCCTTTTTGATGCTCAAATAAGTGGATCTCTTATGTTGTGTCCACAGCCCCGTAATGCAGTAACTCGATCCAGTAATAGTACTACTCACAGATACATTGTTTCTAACCCGTTCTATTGCTCGTGTGCTTCGTGTGAGTTTGCATACGAGATTTGTTTTTCTTTTGCTAGCTGTTATTTTTTAAGTTTCAAAATTACCATTTTAACTTCTCCCTTTTTGTATATTGTTTATGATACACGAGAAATCGTTTGGGCTTATGAATAACTGTTATTTAAATGTTTATAGATGTGTCTACTACTGTTAAAAGGGGCGGAAGCTTTTCACATTGTTGAATCACTGGTTCCTTGCTTTCCGAGCTGATAATTGACCTCATGGTTGTAGGTATTGTAGGTATAATTTATTTTCTTCATGTGTCCTTAGATATGGGGTTCCCTGTTGATCTTAGTGTGATGGTATGATCTAGGTACGCTTTAGACATGTGATGTTGTTCAAGAGAGTATACATTAGAAAATATCGACGACCAATTTAGTTCAACATCAGTTGCCATTGGTCATTTTCACTATTCAATTAAAACAGTGTTCGCTGATTTTCAATGTACTTTGCTACATGTTACAGTCATTATCATGTCAGTTTGTTTTCACACTTCACTTATCGATTTGCTCGCGTTGTCCGGTCCTATTCCTTTCGCCTAGCCATCGCACTTCTAGAATCGTTTGGTTTTGCTCACCGCAATCCAATTGATCCTTCATCTTTCATTCTTCAGGCTCACCAAGATCCCGTCGTTTCCACATTGTTGTCCGTTGGTACACAACTACCCGCTACCCTCGGCGATGGGATGGCTCTGGTCGGAAAGGCCTCTGCACTCGCTTCCGCCACCTCCAGATTGATGGCGGATTTGCGTACTGAGGCTTCCATGGAGCACAGTCAAACCGGACTGTCTCCAGCGGAGGCTAAATTGCGTGCCGATTTGTTGGAAGAAGAAATCCAGCGTTTAATTTCTGCCGCTCAGGTTTGTGTCTATTGAGTTTATCTGTCTGATGATATTGGTTCCTGTTTCGTTTTTTGACAAATCTCACTTGGGAAACCACAAGCAGGTGGTATTGGGTGCTTGAAAACAGCGTTTCATTTTATTAAAAATTCAATTTCTTAAGCACCAAACAACAAGTACAGTAGTGTAGAATAAGAGCAGACCTATTTGTGCCGCCAGCTCTGTTCGACGTTAAGGAATAAGCCGTAAATTTGTACTTCAATTTTTGTA